ATCCAGGGTGTACCCCGCCCCTCGCACAGTGATTGCTGGACATGGGCGCCAGCGACCCCCGTGAACCAAAAATGGAATAAGCGGGTAAAGAAAATGGATGGATGGATGAAAGCTCTGGCATAAAAGGCAGCAGGCAACTTCAAGCAATGCTAATACTTTAATAATGTTTTATTATATGTGTGTGCCTGTATACACGAACATCTTGAACATCACAAAACATGCGTTCATGCTGTTGGGATGATCAATATTTTTTAACGTAAGATCTCTATTGCGTACATGAATGCTTGTTTTTGTTTATAAGTGCAGTGTCATCTGGAGCAGAAGGTATTGTCATATTGCTACTTAAGGTACAATAAAGTATATTGCATTTTAAGGAGGATGAGTCTATAATAACAGTATTATTACTTTTTGTGATGAGGTTTTGGGAGCTCTGAATGTCTGTTAATAACAGTTTTTTCTTGTCAAGACTGCTCAGTTTAATCCCATAATCCACCCAGCTATTTTCCCTATTATCCCTTCTCACTGACAGGCAGATACAAGCAACCTCTGTAGGGACTAATGCAGAGTCGGCGGGGCAGAATCGCCCGTCCAAGGATGAGATGCTCGTCTTCTGCCATGTTTACACTTTCAAACTTTTAGCTGGTATTCTTTGACAGCCTTTGATGCATTAATGATTCCTCGTGTCCCTTGAGTCTCCTGGGTTGTTCTATCCATGTTTACTCCAGAGTTAGCTGCACTCTTTCATCATAGCTGGAACTCCCCAGGTTCCCAACTTTTACCCGAAGCGTGTCAGAGAGACGTGAAGTATGGAGAGAAAAGTCTTTTTGAGAAATGCAGGATGTCATTCTCTTCTCATCAGTTTAATGCTGTTTGGCTGAGCTCATCCTCAGAATCTTTTTAGGATTTCTTCTGTGGATTTTTGGGGTTTAGTAAAAACAGAACTTGTGATCAAAATTTTAATTTTTTAGTGTTTAGAAAATCCCGCCCCCACACTACAACATCAATTGAAAAAAAGTTGTGTACAGTAGTCCCTTGTTTATCATTGGGTATCTGTACCCTGAAGCCCCGCACTAAGTGAAAATCCACAAAGTAGGAATAGTTGTACAAGT